TTTTTTTTTAATTAAAAAATAAAAAGGACAGGGATGGGAGCGCGCTCCCGCCTAGCGGCAGAGGGGCTTGGGTATGAAGTAAAAATAGTACTTCTGAAACAGGTGAAATCACAGATTTTTAATCTGACATCGGGGATTTTTAGTGGTAACATTAAATTAGCAGTTGGCTATTTGCTGGAACCCCTTTAGAGCTTTTGGTAATAAAAAATATTTTTATATTGCAAATTTGCAATAAAGAAAAACATTTAGTTAAAAATCAAAAGATTGGGCAGTCAGCAGGGAAGTTTTATTTCTTAGATAATAGCTATCAATAATAGTTTAAAACCCCTCAACGATCACACGCCAACATCCAGAGCTAATTCTAATGTATTCTAGAAGCTGGATGAAGATATGATCTAAACCTATTCTGAAAAGATAGGAGTAATTGCGATGTCGACTCAACCTATCCTCCGGGGGAAGAAGCTTGGAAGGGTTCGGCTGTTCGCCGATTAAAAGGTTACGCGAGTTGGGTTTAATACGACGTGAGTCAGTATGGTCCCTATCTTCTGGAGGGAAAAATAGTAAAAAGGGGCAGACCTTCTAGTACGAAAGGATCAATAGGCTGTGTTTCTCTAGTGTACCAATTGTTGAAAATATATAAAAATATATTTAAGCATAGTTGGGTAGCCACAAACATGATAGATAAGCGCTGAATGAATATGAAGCAAGAAGCTATCCCCTAGATACTATCATTAGATCCCTATTTACTTTATTTTTTCAGCTAAAACTGAATTTAATTCTCTCCATCGCGCCTAACGGCAGCGGTGGGATGAATAGGTTATTCTAATTTTGTAAGAAATAGAACATTTCTAGATAGGATGAAAATGAAATTACTGTGAGGTATTTAGTTTATCATTACTAATTTATTAAATAGACTTGATGTTAAGTATTGTTCATTACCATTTATAAAATATTAGAGTAGTAATAGTTAAATAATATATTGTATTTTTATTTATTTATTTTTAAATTATTATTAAAAGAATATTAAACTAACTAATTTTTTATAATGAGTATAGTTAAGTTGGTATAACATCTACCTTCCAAGTAGAGATCATCAGTTCGAATCTGATTACTCATAAATTTGATAAATCCTACCCCGGCGCCCTCAGCCCTCAGCCCTCTGAGAGGAGAGGATGGCCGCTAATAATACCGTTAGGCAAGGATAAGCTTTGTTAAATT